CCTTTTTCCTCACTGAGTATTGCTGAAGTGATGTATGGTTTCCTCCTGAACATTCACAAACCTCAGCTGGGAATTTACAAGGATGGATTCTGCCCATGTGTGCAGGCTTGCCTACGTCCATTTGGGCTTCAGAGGATAATTGCTCATTTTTACAAATGCTTTAAAGTCCATTGAAAATAATAATGGAAAATAATTTCTGATTCTGTAATAATTTTAAGGTTAGTGTTGTTTTTGCAGCTGAATTTGTTTTGTTTATATGTCCCATTAAAAGAAAAAACCTTCTGCCTCTTCTAAGAAAACATCATTAGCTCACTGACACACCCATATATCACCAGCTAGGGAAGAAAGGATGAAATATGGCATTGCATGAGCAAGCCATGGGTTAGAAAACATTTACTTAGAAGATTTTACTTCTGGTTGGTAATCATGTACAGGCTATTTTTTCAATGCCTTAGTGTCATATGTTTTTAGGACAAAGACATTGCAATACAATTTTTTTTCACTGAATCTTCTGTGATTTTTCACTGACATATTTGACTTAATTCTGTGTGTTTTTTCTTTTCTGCTAGTTAGTTTCCAATTTTAAACACTTTTTTCTTAACTTCATCCTTAAAGAATTGTGCAGCAAAGTGGACCAAGCCTTACAGTACACCTATATAGTACAATGACACTCCAAAAGCATTTTGCAAGTGGAGAAAGCTAGCTAACCTACTTTTGGCATGTAACAACTATTCTACACTGACCTTCTATATTGCTACTATAAATTCCCCATCCTTCAGTTTTTTGTAGGGAAACCATGTCATCTTACTCCATTTCTTAAAAAGTGAAGCTGTATATCTACTATATATCCATATTACTTTAGGGGCTACATGTTCAAGCTGAAAAAGACTGGAACCAAAGTGTTAAAATTGCTTACAGCATATATAAGACTTTGGCAGGTGGTGCTATGTGATGGATTTAGTTGCAATTATAATGTTCTTGGAAATATCAAACTGCAAAAAATCACTTTGTGTCTTTGTCAAAGGCAAAAAATTAGAATTAGAATTTAAACATCGAGCAAACAAATTTGATCTGCACTACAACAGTTGTGTATATACATTTTTTTCTTCCATGACACTGAAAATTCTCAATTATATCGCATTTCATAAGTAACTTCTGATTAAGAAGATTTTCTTCAAACAAAACTTGCTGCTTGAAAGGAAAAGAAGAAGTTACCTTCTCCTAACTTTACCCTTTTTTCTCTTATGCTAAAGGGTCACAATAATTTTTGGGGGGAAAAAAGGAAACAAAGAAACAAACAAAAACCCAATGAAAAGAACCTTAGAAGTTTATCTAGTCCAACCTCTTGTTTCATGACAGAATTAATTATCTGTAAATCCTTCACAGTATGTTTGACCAACTGGTTTAAACTATCAGTTAAACTTTTGGGTTCTTCTCATTCTTCACTGTCCTTACAATTATATTTGATTCTTATCTAAACTGCTTGAATCTGCTTTAATTTAGCATTGTGCTGCCTATTGTTTATTTCTCCTCAGAAGTAGATTGAGAGAAATGTTGTGGTCCTTTCCTATTTGTAGATAACACTATAATGTTGGAAGACTTCTGTTAGTCCACAGTTTTTTCATCTCCAAACTGAATAAACATTTCTTTCAACTTTTCATCTAAGGTCACATTTTCAAAGTTTCCAACACTTTTTGCTGTTCTCATCCATAAAATTTCCAATGGCATTTCTTCAATGTGATACCCAAAAGAGGATAAAATACTCCAGGTGCTACTAATGCTGCAGTACTAGGTAGAATGGACATGTTAAACTGAATGTACTATTTTATCCAGTTCCCAAAATGCTTGGTTTATCAGCAGTCTCAAATTTTGGTTCACATTCAGTTAGAATTCACAGTAAGCAGGATCCTCTTTTCAGGAACTAGTACTATTTAGGAATAATTCCCCAACCTTTGTTTTCACATTTGATAATTTCTGCCAAGGACAGAACTTTGCATATATTTAAAACACAGAAAACCCCAGGAATTTCAACAATAGTGATAATAATACTGGCCCTACTACTAATAATATACCAACTATTATTATTTCTCCAATTGACTAAGATACTTTGAATTTACACACCTATCTTCTGAAAAAGTTGTAGCTACAATTCACTTGCAACTGCGGAAGAGTTCAATGAACATATAATTTATTCTAATTTTCCTTGTTGAAATACAGAACAGTACCAGAATTAAAGATCAGTGAAAACCTCCAATGAACACATCCTTTCAGTGGGACAGATGGCAATTGATTCCTATTCTCGATACAGCTAACCCGTCAGCTTTGCACCCATCTTAAAGCATGTTTCCCTAACTTACTTGGAAGCTCCTTAAACAAAAAGAGGTATAAAAGAAGACATTGTCTGAAATAATGTATTTATTGACATCATCTTGTTTAAATTCACTCTAAGTGCTAACTCCCTCACTGGAACATAAAATTAAGTTTAATTTGAAACAGCATAGTGCATCTGACTAGATGGCAAATAAGTTGAAAAGCCATAAAACCTTTTTCTAAATTGATACTTAATTTGAAAAGAAGTCTGTGCTACCTAGCACTCAGATATCATCATCATCATTATAACAGAGTCCAGAATAGCATAAAGAAAATACATGAGTGAGAGAACATGGTTCAGAAAAAGTATTCCAAGTTAGAGCTATGTCACCAGGTTGTATAATAGAATTTCCCTGAACTATGGCTTAGAATATAACTTGAAAGAAATACTAAAGACTATCACATATATTTCTAAAAAGTGTAAAGATCAAGTCTAGTTTTCAATGGCTATTTCTTCACACAGAAATAGCACAGCTGACACTAAGGTTTTAAGTAAAGATAGAAGCAGTCAGCTGAAATAAAGGTCAAGAAATAGCTCTGGAAAAAACACAGATTATTTTTATCCTCTGTTTTGATATTGAAGACAAGTTCACGGCCTTCCCTAGTGCACCACTATTGGATAATTGAGATTACTCAGACTGAAGCAAATATTCATGACATAGTAGGGACAGGGACACCCTGTGAGTTCTCTGAAAGCACAGTAGCAATATCAAAACAATTTTCCTCAGTCCATTTGCCTTTAAAACCTCACAAGAAGTATTGAGATACTGTCATATATTCAAATAACTTGAATTTTGTCAGAGGGGGTCTTTTGCTAATTTATAAATTTAATTATCTTTTAAGAGGTTCACCTTCTGTAATTAAGAAATTGCATGGAAAAATAATTATGTACAGAATAGTATTCACAAGATCTCGAAATATGCAGAGACATACTTACAAGGAAGCAGAATTTCATCTTTGCAATTAGTTTTGACTGAGTTTGAAATGCATTGCTTGCATCTTTAGACACCATCTTGTGTGTAACAGAGCTGACACACCCTGATTGTGCTATGCTATTAAACTGTTTCAGGACAGTTCCAAAATGTAATAAATTAGACTTTTAAACATAAAGTAAATTGTAGATTGAGAGATTTCTTTCTTCAAGTCCTGCAATGCAGGAAATACATTACAAATAACTGCTTTTTAAGCACCCTTTGCTAAAGAAATCAACCATCAAAGCAGCATGGCTGAGGATTTTGGAACACCTAGAAATGCTTTTCTCTGCTGGAGAGCTGAAAGTGTAATCTCGGCCTTGGCATATACAGGCACTGGAAGAGAACTCCCCACAAAGGTTTGAAAAGTCCCTTCTCTCTTCTTCTGCAAGCCAGCCTGCAAAACCTAACCCCTGATGTGAAAAAACCTGAACATGTGCACAGAGAGATCTCTGACTGCCATGTCTAACATCACTTCTCTTTTCATTCCATTCCATCAGTCTCTACCCATCTCATGTCTCTTCTTTTACTATGTGCATCAGTGCAGTCAGGCAGATACCCTTTTTATTCTGTAATTGTATGCTCTGTATCACCAAGGAATCTCAGGCTTGATTATGGCTCCAAGGTGCTGCTGTAGCAGAAATAATTCTGTAGTAGAAAAGGAGAATGAGATGATCTTCAAGCTTTATCTCTGCTTAGGGCCACGGACCCAAATTGGAAAAAGCAATTCATTATGTCTGCTGAGTTATCAATTTCCAAGTCTTCTGCAGAAGGCTGGTAATCACAATAATTCCCATTTTATGTAGGGAGACAAAAGGACAGAGAATAAGACCAGAAAGGTATGTTGTGGAGGACTTTTTGCTTTGCTTAGTTTTTTGTGGGTCTGGGTTATAATTGGTTATAATTGGGGCTTATAATTAACTACACATTAATAAAACAGAACACAATAATTCCTTTGACTGTATTTTTGAACACAGACATCTAACAATTTCATTGCTATCTTAAGTTCTATTCTTGACACACAGAAAAGATGGTAACCAAGCCTCATTGCACATTTACTGAAATCTTAGTGAATTGCTTTGAGGAACTTTCCTGGCAAGGTATTGATGCTAGCTAAATTAAAAGCCTTTCTGATAAATTTAAGTAAATCCTACTGTTATGTATTTCCTACAGTAAACTCCATTCATTATGAGTGAGATTACAGATGGCACGTTGTAAGCTCATAATGCAGAATCAAAAAATGCAAATGGGACTTGCATAGACATCTCTTGCAAAACTGTGTCCTGAACTACCTCAGATGAGGTTTTTGGAATGAGTAACATCACTTCTCTGCAGTTATTTCAATCCTCACAGAGCTTTAAAACCTTATGTGCTTTGTAAGAATCCTAGATATAGCAGAAAAGAAAAATCTCTATAAAATTTGCAGGAAAAATGTTACCTGTAAAGAACTTTTTAATAATATTTCCTAGCTTATTAGCATAGGAAGAAAATGTTCAAAATTTGGAGTAAATATTCAAGTTTAAAAAAGTTAGTGTAGTTTTCAAATAAAGTACAGATGAGTCTACAGAAATATCTTGCAATTCATGTTAAGTACAGTATACTTTTTACACAACTGTTAATACAGAGCAAAATTCGTATTCAGTACTTCAAATTATTTACCTGCAGTGGATGCAAAATTAGTCCACTTCATGATATAAAACCTGAGTCGGCAACCTAATAAAAAAAAAAAGTTAAATAAGATTAAGCTAAATTATAAAAATTCACACATGGGCAAATGAGACTTCCAGGAAATGAGAGAAACCAGAGGAAAGGACAGTTGTGTTTCGAGAGCTGTCTTCAGGGAATTTACAATAAAATTTAAAAAATACACCTACAATTTTACAGGACATCTTTCACATGTAATATTTTCCAGTTGCCCAAGTCTGACACTGCGTAACTCATACAAAAGTGAACAAGGTTTCTCACACACACATTTTTTTCTGAACAGAAGAGAAACAGATAAATCAATGAACCTAAAAGAGCTATTCAAGTTAAAATTATAAGGAAAACTTGAAATTTTGGATTTAACAAATACTATTAAAAACATGTTTCAGAGTAGCATGGGATACATAAACTTGTACTATTAATATTGTACTTTTGCTGCCCATTGCTAACAGAGTGGTGAAATGGTTGAAGAAAATAAGATGGACCAGAATTCTTGTATAAATCTCACACTAAATAACTCCAGTTCTTTTGTAAGGCTTTCTTATATTATCCTCTTTATGTAAGTATTATTAGGTAATATTTAATATAATAAAATGTTATCCAAAGGTTTATGTAAGGACTGGAATATAGATGCTCATGTTTCTCATTTGTTGACTCAGAGTTGTAATTTCTGCAATACTGAACTTATGAAATTCATTTATTTATTTGTTAATAAAAAGCCCAAAGCCTGATCCACACTAAAACTGAAATGACCAGTTCCCATATTTGGCACAAAATCTGGAATTCCAGCCAAATGTAAGGAAGAGCTTTTCTGAAATGGAGCTTGATTTCAATCACATGTGAGTGAATGATGTGGTAAGGTGCTTGTTTCAAGGCTGTCCCCAGGTCATAAGAAAAGCATTTGGAGTTTTATGGAGATATCTCATCATTATCTCTTTCAAAGCCTCATCAACTCTGCAGGACAAATCCGTCCCAGCCTAACTGGCGCTAAAAAGAAGATGTTCATCTAGTCTAACTTTATCTTTTTTTCTTCTCAACATAGGGCAGAAGGGCTTTTGTTTCCATAGTTACTAGAGTATTTCCTTTGAACCTCTTCCAGAATACTTTTATCTTTTCCACATGCACTGACAGACAATCCTATGAAGTATGTATGTATTTGTGAAACATTCTGTGCTTCATTACCAATTCTTTGCTGGATATAACACAGGAAATTGAGCCCATTGTTAAAGCCAAATTTCTGACTTGCTGATTTAGGTGTTTTAATATTCAGTAATGTAAAAATAGACTTCAGAATATTACAAGTGAAAGATAAAATCAAGAACACTAATTCTGAGAGTTTTTCAAAGTTATCATATTGCAAAGCCGATTTGTTGTTATTTGCTATTCTGAGTCAATATAGTTGCATGCTTTCTAAATTGAAAAGAGCAGTTTTTTAAAAATTAAATTATGTGCTTCTTAAGAAAAAGTTGTATCAATATTTATTTATGAGCAGTAAGAACCTCATGAAAGAGGTTGTTGGTTGAGGATTTCTTAGGTTGCTTTTTGATGGCTTCTTGCTTGTTTTGGTTTAAAGACAGAAAAACCTGAACTTTAATTGAATGTATCTAGTTTTTACCCTTGAAAACATTTATATCACTTTAAAAAATATTTTCATTGTGGTCTTCAGGCTGGAACCATTTTAACATTTCCTCCAAAACCCTTCCTTTGCGATTCAAAGACCAAGTCTTCAGCAAAAGAGAAACCTCTATTCTCAATACCTAGATACTCAATCCATTCTAAACGGATATCAGATGCCCATGAAAAAAAAGACAAACCCAACTTCAAATTTTCTTTTCTTAAAAGATTATTTTAAAAAGCTTTTACACAGAAATACATACAAACAGTTCTACAGAATGATATAAAACTAGTTCCGTTGACTATATCAGTGGTTCTCAAGGTAGAATTCTCTGAACTAACAGATTTCTAAAGCAAGAAGTGAGCTGCCTTTGTAGTACACACCACTGCTCAAATCTTGCCTTTTTACTCTGAGGGCTTGTGCTCCACATGCAGCTTCCAGTGCAATTCCTTTCATTTCTCTCTGGGTAGCTCACTAAAAAGCCTGGAAACATTGGCTATATTGGGCTCTCCGGACACCAGCAGTGGGATGAAAGCTGTGCCAAAGTGGTTCTGTTTGGGCTGCCATCTTCTGTCAAAGGGAAGGAGATGAGCGGAGTACTTGTTAAGCGGTCAAAGAATTGACACCCGAAATTAAAAAAGGACATCATGCTGGATTGTGCCTCTTTCCTTGCATGAATGTGGTAGATGAAAAGAAAGAAATTGTTTGTATTGATCCAATTACACTATTGTATAAATTACTTGCTATGAGAAACCAAAAACTTAACAAAACCAAACCAAAGAAAACAAACTAGGTTCTCACTAAGACAAATGTTATTCCAAATGCTGTCTGTTTATTTTTTGGGGAAAGCACATAAACATAAATGCTAGCTTATTCTGACAAATGATTAAAGCTACACAGTGTCCACAAAATGCCACAGAAGACTGGAGAGAAGCATAGACTACATTACAGATCTCCCCTAACTTTAAGACACAAAACTCCAACCACCTTAACCATAATTAGCAGTCTCATTTACATTATTTTATATTTATAGTCAGAAAACTCATCATTCAAAAAATGTTGAATTCAAGACTCCCTATCACATGTTCTGCTACCATTAAAGTTTGATAGCAATCAATAAACTACTAGGAATGACAGGTATTCTTCTAATGAAGCATTTAATAAAAATAAGTGGGTTGAAGCTTTCTATTAGCAATTGTCTAATGACAGTTAACTAAATATTGGCTTAATATCACAATGGCTTGATCTTCTGCTCAGAGAATGTGAATCTCATAAACAAAAGTTTCACTGACAGCTCAAGAAATAAATACACATTACTAGGGCTCTTTCTGATAGAAAGATGATTTGAGGGAAGTGTATTACTTCTCTTAGAAAGTAAAGTGGTTTCAGTAAAGACTTGTCTAAAATTATACTTGAATGAATTATGTGCCTTGTATCCCTAATTATCTGATAGCCATTGCTAAACACTGTGGGAGTGGACATTACAGGGACAGAAGTCTAGATGATTAGGTTATTCTTGATTCTTCTGATTCAAGAATAGTAGTGACCATTGAGCCTAGTTTCCTCCTGATTCATCTGTTACAGCAGCTGTATGAATGTGGATGAAGCCCACATAATTCATCTTGACACAAGTAAGATTTTTTTTACAGTGAGAACAATCCATAACTAGGAGAAGCTATTCAGGGTTGTGACTGAATCCCTGTCACTGGAAGTTTTCAAGGTGCAATTGGACAGGGTGCTACATCATCTCATGTAGAGTCTCTTTCCTATGACAGGTTGGACCAAGTGATCTTTCAAGGTCCTTTCCAATCTGGGCTGTTCAATGATGCTATATTTATGTTAGCAAGGGTTCTGGTACAAAATTTGATGGAAGTTTATTTGCTGCATGTTGTTTAACTTAGTTAACTATCTATACCCATGAGATATGTGGAGAAAGCATAAAACAAGTACAGTGATAGTGGTGTCTTCTCCAGAAGCTTCACTGCTCTGAAGTGCCATTTCACTCACATGTGGAATGTGTCTGCACTGGCCCCAGTGGACTTTAAAACTGGATCAAAAATACTCTTTGCAGCCAAATTATAAGTCCATTAGACCATTAAAATAGATCATAGTGTAACTCATTTATTAAAAGGGCAGCAATGTTTGTGAAAAATAGCTCCTTATTCCCAGATGGAATAAGAGCTGCTCTCTGCAGTCACAGAGACATTTGGTAGTTACAACATGATGTTGACACAGCTGCAGGCCCTGGTTGCTGCGCCAGTTTCACATGGCTCTGCTTTTTCCTTCCTCCCTCCTCCCTTCTAAAATCTACAGAAAAGTATTGGGCAGCTTCTCACCTAGCTGGTTTTGTGCTTGAGTTGTTACAAGACTCTATCACTGTCTGTCTTGATGTAGGCATGTTTGGCTTTTGTATTTTCACTAGGGTTATGAAGTCAGATTGATGCCTGCCTTTGAATACAAAATTGGCTGTTGGTACATGACTGGGTCAAGAGTTAAATGGGGACAGAGCAACAAAGACAAAACACAGATGAATTAACTCACATGGGTGGGAGTGAACCACAAAAAATAAATTCATATTGTCTGTGTTTAGTTAGATGTCTTACAGGATCCTTTGGTTTTCTTACATGTGAAAAACTTTTGTGTCTGACTTCTACAACTCAAAAAAAAAACCCAAAAACTGAGAAGGCAGAAAGGAAGAAGCCATTAATATTTTAACATTATGACCCACTGGGATTGTGAAATGTTTCTGCTTTAAATCACTGATTAGTGATCTGCTGCTACAATTTTTGCCTGGAAAATACTAGACGAAATGTAGACAACACAGCACAGATTTCTAAGACACAAGTCTCTACCTTCCTTTCCCTATTCTTTTGATTGATGAGTAACTGTTTTTTATGACAAGCTCATGCTGTTAAGTTACATAAAGAGACTCTGATACAGTCAGATTTGTCCCTAATGCGAAGCTTAGTGTTCACACACTCCACTTTTTTAAACTCCTCCAAACATTTAATATTCTTTTGGCAATTGCTTCTCTTGGAAGAGTTTCTAGAAGCTCCTTCAGAACACATTTCCTTTGTCACTATATGGGGAAAAGGGCGGAGAAAAGGGAGTTTTATTCTTGCACCTTTTCAAGTTTTAAGCTGGTCCTAAATGGGAGCTACTGTGAGAGATACATTATAATTAAAAGTAAGAAAATATTTTTCTTTATTTTGAGAACTGGCTGGTCAAGTATCCATCTGTGAACTACTAGGGGAAAAAAATCCATGCTTTCTATGATTTATTTTAGTGTATTTTTTTTCCATAGAGAGCCAAGAGTTAGGAATAAAGAAAATGGGTTTTAGAGCTACTCTCTGTGTGTAGCTATTGTAACTTTTTGCATCAAAAGTATATTGAC